AGAGAAAGGGGGAAAGGGGCTTGTTGACGTTCATATAATTCAGCCGCGTGAATTTTATCAAAATAATAATGTTCTAATGCAAAATCGCACTAATCTCTGTTTCATTCACGTTCGACGCGCGATCGTTTCTCGCGTTAGAAATTCCCAACGGGCGGAAGCGGAGGATCGTCGGGAATCTTCGGACAATCGAGCGTTCTAACGACGCGCAGCTCTCGGGCGCTCCATTATAATACCGCCGTCGTCGTAACGATATTATCGAATGACAGCCACGCGGCGATTACGTAAATGCCATTACGGAGGGCATCGTGCGTGCCTCCGGTTTATTTTGTAAAGGAAAACGCGCGAATGAATGGTGGCGACTCGGGCGGACTTTACCCTTCGGGACCGGCGCGACGCGACGCGGCGCGCGCGTTCATCGCGCTATTCATCAGCTGCGCTTTTACCACCGGCATGACGTGCCATGGCTAATGGCAGCCTTTAAAAGCGCCGGACAGCGACGATAATCCTCCGACGTTCCACTCCACGCGGCCGCACACCACCCTCCTTCTACACGCATACACATGCATGCATGATTTCCCGAAATCTCATACGGGCGTCACGCGTGTCACCTGTCGTGACCGCGCGCGCGCGCTTCCAGCATGCAAAAAATGTGTTAGCATGCAGGTAGCATAATTCTCGGTGACTTAGTGAGGTGACTTTGCCGTGCGACCCGAACACTCTCTCTACTGAGCTTTCGCTCGGAGCTGATGATGCTTCGGATCATTTGCGGAAACGATTGATCGTTCCGGACATTACAAACTTCTAAAAGATGTCAAAAAGGCATCTTTTTTAGAAGTCCTTTTAGAAGTTTTAGAAATTTGTGTTGCCTTAAGAAACGTTAAACATGCCCTGCTTGTTTTAGACGTTTTTAAGATGTGTTTTAGAAGTTTGTGCTGTTTGGGGTATGTCAATGTGTTTACTTCCCTCTTTTAACACGTCAACTATCGCCTCGATCACCTTTAATTGCATGCAGACTTATATAATAGTCCTAACATATGAAGTTACAGTCTTTTAGAGTACATGATGTATTTTTTATGGAAAGCTCCAAAACGATATGTCTTACAAGAGAAGATAATACTTTGGATAATTTGGATCTTGATGCCCGTTATACCAGACAACTTTGATGGCATTAGGAATAGATTCAGTCAAAAAAATGGACCACATATGTCCCAGAAGTTCCAGGAATCAGATCGGAAAGCTGCCCACTGAATCTATTCCTAATGCCATCAAGATTGTCTGATTTAACGGGCATCAAGATCAAAACTATCAAAAGTATTATTAAAATATTATTTTCCCTTGTAAATGTGTGAGAGCTACTATTCCGGTATACATAAGTTTTGCCTTTTCAATGAGCGATGAGTAACGGCAACGAGATATTTTAACCCTTTAAAACCTTCCAGCATCTTGCTGGAGTAAAATTTTTTTTCATAAAATAATATTAAAATTTTTCAGATGATCAACCATCAAAGAGATTAGGCGGGATTCGTTGCGTCGCATTGTTTTTTTTCTGCATTTTGGTACGATTGAGTTATCCAGATAGACTTTCATGATTAATTTTTAACATAAAAAAATACATATATGTTTATGTTGAGAGTTTAAATATTCATATTTATATTTATGTTCATATTTAAAGACTAAAAAAATAAGAATGTCCAGGATTAGGTATGCCGATATATGTTAGATATGCTGCTCCTGATAAAGAGTTTTATGGTTCCCATAAAATCGATTGTAGAAAAACACGATTTTCTGAATGTACATAATTATGTATATTCATGTTTGCACGTGAGTTACAGCTACAAAATTTAATAAATTTTATAACTATGATAATGAATACAAAAATGCTTATATTTTATGATTGCATCGATGAAAATTTGAGAAAATTAAATTTACTTAGCTTTGCTCCTGAAAAACTTTAAGCAATTTTTAACGTCAATGAGATTCTATTCTATACACGATCGCCACATTGGTTTTCGCTATATTAGAAGAATATGTTTATCCAAGATTGGGGTCGACAGTATTATATCGATAGAGTCATTATTTTGCCAATATAGAAAATTTGTGGAGGACTCAAAATGAAAATATACATAATTATGTACATTAAATTTTGAAGGATTAAGAAAGTAACTTCCCCAACTTTTTTGCACTCTAACACGTGGACTACCGTTTGTTGATTTACGAACTGCCGTCCGTTAAATGTACAAAATCTTAGACCATGACAGAATTATAAAAAATATAACAAATGTAATTCAAAACGTGTATACCTTTCATCCTGTTGAGTCGACTGTAAAACCGGTTTTTCACACGCGATTAATTATATTTTACACATAAGTTAATGAGATATAGTATCATAGTATTATAGTATCGACGACAACCAGTAACCGTCACGAAGTTCTACGTGTTAATCGGACGTCTCTTTTGCGAATGAAATGATTTTGTAGAATACTCTGGTGGGATCGCAATTTCGAAGTCGAAG